AATAATTATAATATGATAATAATATTAAAAAAGAAAGGCAATTATCTCATAATTCTTTTATTCTCTCAACCAAACATATTAATTATTTATACCGACCAATTTATTCTAATCAAATCAACATATATAATATAACATTATCTATAATCTTCAAGGTAATTTATCTTACTGATAATTCTATATTTTTAATAATAAAACATTCCTGAAACCAAACGCCTCTCAGTGTCATCTTTTGAGACCAAAAATTTGATTGAAATATTGCTTATAACCAACTATTTATCTTCTTTTGATGGGATCATCTTTTAATAGTTCCCACAATAGTATATCAAAATCTTTTAGATTTTTTCCTTTTCTAGTCTTGGGTCATAATTTTTATAAGCTCTTTTTTTCAATATTATTAATTCAATTTTTTTTTTTCTAGCATTCCCTTTCAACAATGTTTAAGTTAGTTGACGTTGACTGATTGTTTGCCGTATTTTGATGGGAAAATTTTGATTGAATTTTTTTACTTTAATTGTCAAATGACATCAAAATTCTACTATTTGAATAACATTTTTGATACATTATTTTTTTATTTATTTATTTATTTTTTTTTAGTTCAAAGAAGACTTGGAAAATTGAAGTGAAAGAAGCATAATTTGTTGGTCTTCTTAAAGACTTGACAAGTTGCTCAAATAATTTAGAAGTTGGGCCAAGAGCAATTATTATTGACTCTTCTTTTGGTCTTCTCTCATTTTCATTCTAAAATTTGATTCTTCAACCGTAATATTAATTAATATATAAATAACATTAAATTAAATACCTCTATTTTGAAAATAACATTATTAACCTTTGAAATTGCAAGTTAACATATAAAAAATATAATATATTAATGATAATAATTTTTTATTATATTATATATAGATTTAATTTTTTTTAATCATTAAAAGATCTTTTACAATAAATTTTAGATATATATAATGACTAAAATTAGAGTAAAAAATAAATTAAATATCTCATCCTAAAATGCCCACCAAACATCACTAACAATCTTTTTTTTTTTTTTCTTTGCAATAGTGGTGTTTAGATCACTTTGTGTACTTCAATTAATCATTGAGACTTAAACTATCGTTGGGTAAAACTTCAGTGATTATTCCTATTACTATCAAAAAGAACTTCATGATTATTCCTATTACTATTCGAAGAAACTAAAACTCATACATTTAAAGTCCTTATCGAATATTCGACTAATAAAGGTAGTTCAACTAACATCTTCTAAAATTAGCTTTAAAGCCAATTATATTGAGACAAATCACATCAATAATAATCTTTTATTTGACACTAAAATCTCAACCATCAATTTCATTTAAAAAAATTGAAATATTCTTCCCATAGAAACGATTTTTAGCTAGTCTTGGTTTGTCTCTTTGGTAGAATCATGAACCTAATGAATGGCTATTAATAAGAATTTAAGATTATCCCCACATATTTCCCAAATAAAATAAAAGATTGAGAGTTGATTGAGATAAAAAAAATTTAGGGCCTTAATGAATTTTTTACCCTGAGTTTTTCTTGAGTAACAATTTCCCCCTTCATGTATGCGAAATAACAAATTATCCCTTTTTCTTTTTTGTAGGACCAAAGGTGAAAAAAAAAAAAAATAAACATAAGAAACTATTTTCAAGATGGGAAAAAGAAAAGAAATAACCCAATTTTATTGACCTAACGTAAAAATGTTTGCTCATTTCATTGACTTCATAGATTTAAACCACCTTAAGATCACCTACCATATTGTGGTTGACCTCAGAATATTGAATTTATGAGTGTTCAATGGTTGGCTTCAGAGATTAGTTGAGCTATGTATACTTTGGTCAGAAACCTCCATCATTCAAAAAAAAAAAAAAAAAAAAAAAAACAAAAAAAAAAAAAAAAAGATTCTCATAATTGAATAAAGACACACAAGGAAAGCAAAGCACATGTAAATGATGCAATAAAGCATGGCGTCACATAAACATTACGTTATGGGCAATGACGCTTACAAAACTCCAATCTCTTCCTCTCACCTAACCCTAACCTAACCTAACCCTAACCTAACCACTTTACATTTCTCCTATTTTTGACTTTGCATACCCTTCTTTGTTCTTGTCAAATTACGAAATACCCCTTTTTTTTTAAGGTGTTATTTTTGACATGTCAAAGGTTATGCTATCGTAAAGGTGTTACATTAGCGCTACCACAAATCAATTACATGTTGATCGCATAGATGAAATTTGGTAATTTTTTGGGCAACTCATTTTACCCATGAGGGACTAGCCGAGCTTAAGCTTGTGGTTTTCAGTTCCTAAAGACCCTTATAGGTAGGGGTGAGCCGTTCTAGATACCTTGTATTTCTTGAAGAAATCGGAATTGACCGATTCCAGTTTCTAAAAAACTGGAAAACATAGTTTTAGGTTTTGGGTATCCGAGTTAATTTAAATTACCCCATACTTTTTTTAAAAATGACAAACGCGCCTCCAAAATTTATAATACCCTCAAAAGTTTACAAAAAATATAATTTAGTACCAATTCTTACATAGGTACTCAAACCTCAGTTTCGATTCCAATTTTTGGTTCCAGCATTGTAAAAACTAGAACCGGATATAAGAATTGTCGATTTCAATTTTTCAGAACCAAAACCCAACCTTAATGGGGTCGGTTTCAGTTCTTACCCGAAACCAACAGATGGGTACCTGTCGGTTCAGCTTCTACCTTGTACCCATGTTGACCCCTACTTATAAGGTAGTTTTTTGGGTTCAGTTTCTCAAAGCAAGATCAAGAGATATCTAAATTACAAAAATAAAAACAAAAATCCGTTGTTTATTGCTTAAATGTATGACCCATCTCTATTTTGTTGAAATTACTAAACTGCTCCTAACAGTTACATAATCCATTTTATTACTCCATATCTAATACGATATTGATATATGAATTGAGAAACAAATATTGGTGTATTTTATACTCAAAGTGATGTTATGGAGACACATATTAATTGTCTTTAAGAAAGGTCGGATATATCATCTTATCTCCTTCAACAAAAAAGGAAAGTTGAAACAGACATATTTTCTTCTTCAAATCAAGTGGTCACTCTTGTACAAACTTAAAATTCAATCCACAATTAATGAGATATTAAATTTTTATGGTCAAATCCGCGTTGGTGACTGACAAATATATAGTCAACTAATACTGCTCCAACTTCATGAATCATCACCACACACCACACACTTCTTTCTCTCTCTTCTGTTCTGTTAAAGCTATTTATTACCTTATCATCAATTCAATCCACAATTAATGTGAAAATCTTTCTTGAAATGAGAATTTTTACATAGGTCAAAGGACATAAATCTTGGATGATATTTATTTCACATTCTCACATTTAAAGTAATCCAATTTTATTTATTTTAACAGACTCATAATTTTTTTACTGTAACACGATGCGTGTTAACATGTTAAAGTAAACATGTATTTTCTTTGGCAGAAGATGAGTTTATATTAACAAAAATTGACTCATATTAATAGCATTCAAGCCGATAGTTTTTGGCTTTTTTCGGTTGATTCTGAAGTTCAAAATTATTTCTGAGACCAGTATTGAACTTCTCACAACCTCCTCTACAAAACTCATACCTTCACTTACCGACCTCAATCACCGTTTCATACTATCTTTAATAATCACTAACGGTGTTAGTTTAAGGATAAGAATTTGGATTAAATGCAATTAAGGATATCAACTTAAAATTTTACTAAACCTCAGGTGGGAATATGTCGTTTACTCTTATATACATATAATATAGTTGTATTTAGATAATTTAAGAGCATATAGCCATATATGGGTTTATTTTGACCATATATATGGGCATACATTTACTTCCACCATAATTGGCATTTCTGTAAGTTGAATATATATCGTATCATTCTTGATATTTACATCCTCGCCTAAAACTTATTTGGGTAGACAAATATTTGAACAGTATTGCATATGGTTTTTTTTTTCTTCTTCTTTACTTGATATATGCTTTGCATTAACTTCCGTTCATCTAAACACAACACGTTATGATCAATCGAGAAAGTTTTCAATATGAACTCTTCACATCATTCTAGAAGATGTCTTGTTCTGTCCGTCTATCTAAAACTTATACATGATACAATGTTATTATTGATATTAGATACATAATTAGTCCATCCATTTACATACACAAACACACTTCAATCAAATGAATATGCATTACATCATTCAATAAGATAAACAGATGATGTCGTGATTTATCTGTCCACCTAAAATATTTTCTAAAGTCGGATAGATATTTTAAAAAAGTATATCATATCCATCATATAATTTTGTTACTTATATCATATACATAAATTAATCATTCCATTTAAATATCAACGCAATTAATAAGATAAATATATCACATCATCGAGATGATAATAGATTCCATTTAGATATCCATGCAATTAATAAGACAAACACATCACACCATCCAGATGATAATAGATGACCCTGATTATGTTTGTTGGCCCATAGCTTTTTCTCAAATCAATAGATATTAAAAGGAAAGTATCTCATATTCATTATATAATTTTATTACGCATACCATGTGCGTAAACCCATCCATATATATATATACAAAAAAAAAAAAAAAGTAATCAATTATATAAATATATCACATTATTTGAAAAAATAAAAATATATTTAAAGAAAGAATCCCAATCTCATAAATTTTTTCTTACAATCTCAACATTAACCAGTTCGCAAATAGGTCCTGCTTGTTTGTTATGGGTCTTATCTCTCTAATTATAAACTGATCAATTGCGAGTTGAGGTTGTGAAAAAAAGTTTATAAGATTAAGTTGTGAGTTAATCTTTATTATTAATAAAAATATTTAATTATAACTACTTTATTAATTAATAAGATACATGAAATGGTCCCACCTTAGGGTTTTAAAGTGCGAGAACACTTGCCTCATCATCATACCTAAGCATATAAAAGAAAACGACATAGTGTTGAGTTTGTGAAAGTGTTTTAATTCCTTCATCATATTCTCCTTCTTCCGCTCTTTCTCTCTCATGGAGAAGAATAACAACAAAAACAATGAAAGAAGGAAGAGAAAAATGGTGGAGAATAACAACAACAACAACAATCGAGGTGACGAGGATGTTCATCAACAAGAACAAGAACAAGATGAGAATGAAGAAGAAAAGATGGAGCAATTTTTTGCTTTAATCAGAAACACAAAAGACATGAGAGATCGAATCAAACAAAGCGGCGTAATCGTTGGCTCATCTTCTTCATCAAAACAGCATCAAAATGAGAAGAAAAGCCAGCCTGAAGAAGAAGACCATGTTCAAAAGGGATCAGGTTTTAATAATATTATTAATAATAATGTAGGAGCTCAAACATGGAACCCCACATTTCAAGTTGAAGACTTCATGGATGATCTTGCAAAATCTTCAATCAATAATATCAATATTAATATTAATATTGAACAAGATGCAACTCAAGAATTGCTTCCAGGTTCTTCATCCAAAAGCCAAGAAACAGAAGTTGCAGAAGATAAAACAGAAGGAGGTAATAATAATGATCAGTTAGACTTAAAGCTTTCTTTGTAATAGCACTTCTGTACAATGTAATTTTATTATTTGTTTCCCTTTTTTTCTAGTAATATGAAGTTCTTAAGAGTAAATTAATTAATTAAATAGATGTACAATCGCTCGTAAATCTCAAAATATCGAATATTGTTTTCATTTCTGAGTACTTGTTATACAAAGAAATCAAATTTTCTCATCAATGAAATTCTTTTTTTCTTTTTAATTTCTAAATTTATTGAAAGAAACAAAATTTCCCAGTTTTCGTAATTGTTCTTCAATGAAAATGAGCGAAAAAGGGGAAAGGAATTTAAGGTTGTGAACAGTGTTTTCATGTGCTCTTCTGAATCTGCTGCCACTGATGAATGATTTTTAAATAGGGTCTGTTTTTGGCTTCAGAAAATCGGGTAGTTCATAGTTGGAATTGAAAAATGAAAGTGACAATCTTATGGGGTGGTAAGTGAAAAGATAAAAAGTTGATTAACAGTTTAAACTTTAACCTACCAAGGTGGGTTCTAAATTTCAATTAACATTATTATTTTTATTTTTATATTAAAATATTTGTTGAGATAAGGATTGGATACCAACTAGTTTAAAATAATAGTACTGTATATTTGTCTTGAAATTATTTAAATGGTTCATTGAAATTGAATGGCTAAGTTTAAAAGAATTAAAAGTGGGCAATATCTTTGAAAAATCTTTCAAAGGAGACAAGGGATGGTGTTGTTTCACTTTGGGGTTGCAAATTGGATTAATCTTTACCCTCAAAATCTGATCAGATAGATTATCTCAACTAAGTAGATGCGTTTTGAATGAACCAGAAATGAAAACAAGCTTAATTAATTTAAATAATTAAATATAGAGATACTAACTGTCTACTTAAGAATAAATATTAGGTCTTAAGTACCAGAATAACCGAAAGCAAACCTTAATTAGTTTAAATAAGTACAAGAATCACGGACACAGCTAGGTAAAAGGCTACCTATAATAGGTGATAGATAGGTAAAGGCTACTTATAATTGGTGATAGATTTCAAAATTTTTCATTTTTTCTTTTTTGTTGACCAGGGATGTACGAATCAATTTGCACACACCTCAACTAATTCTTTAAGATCCTGAAGTTAATGACCGGATAATTGCCAATGATCACCCTTGTTAATAGGAAATGTGAATCAAATTCTATACCTCTTAAGTAATACATCTAAGAGTTCTAACTGACTACTCCACCACCCAGTGCTGTTTATTTCAAAATTATTCTTATGGTCCACATAAAAGTAGAATAGATTTTTTTGTGTTATTATTTAATTAAGTAAGCCCTGTTTTACTGGATGTGATAGTAAATAAACTATTGGGAATATTTATGCATAAAAATCAATGCCATGACATAAGAAACCACCAAATTTTCACATCAACTTTGAAAAAGAACAAGTTGATTGATTCCCTTGAAGCAAATTCTGGTACTGGACAAAATTTCACGGCAGCCCACAACAAACAACATGACCCACTTGTGATACAATTTTCCATGACCTGGACCTCATTCTGAGAACATGCTGAGCTCTTTCTCTAACAAATTTTGGTGTGCAAGCAAAGCACCAATTAAAAGAAAATAGTTTCATTGACATGAAATGAAATTTAACCTAACATAAAAAAAGATAAAGACAACCAACCAATAAGAATTTGCCACATATGGGTTGTATTGCACCATGATGCATAGAAGATCTTTCGGAAAATAGACAGAGCTCTCTCCTAGGAATTTTTAGGGAGCTTTGCTAACAGTTATGACTAAGCAAAATTTCATCAGAGATTAATGAAGTATTCTGAAAAAAATGTGTTCTTAAACTACTTAGGCATCTACTATCTAAATATGATGACATGGTATATACTACTTTCTTAACGAAGACTTTTGTAAGGATTAATACCTCCGTGTTCGCATTTAATGACAGGATTAACTCAGCTACACCAATGGCAGCAAATATAATTAGGAACACGTACAAATGCTTATGATTAGATGAACTCTTCGTGCAGAGTCTTTTATGTCAATCACAGATTGGATTGAACTCAGGTTGTATCTGTTATGAATCTAGTAATAATATGCAGTTTCACCAGCAGAAATGGCAGAATGAATTACCAGCTTGACATGGTAAATATCAACAGTATAGTCAGTTAAATGGTAACATACCTAAACAGAAACAAAGCAGGTAACTTTTACAGCGAAATTGTTACTGCCAGAATTTGGTAGACATGATGCATAGAAGTTCCGAGCTTCTACCTTCTGAAGCTGTTGGGATTTGGAAATTATGCTTCAAAAATGCAATTCGATGCATTTTGCAGTTGCTTTAGCCATGAGCGGCTTCAAATTCTTGTCGCAGCAAAGAAATTTAACTCATTGTCTAAGCAGATCAGAGGAAGTTTCTCTGGAAATTCTAGTGTATGTAAATTTCTGCGGTTTCGGTGATTGTAAAGAATACACTAACGTCAATCTAAGTAAATTTCTGAGGTTTCTCCTTCTTCCAGCTCAAACTTCTCATACTGTGAGTCTCCACTGTGCAACAAATGGTACCATCAAAATTATATTTGTCCTATGTGGTGAATTAATATGCCAAAATTTTATGGGATGCATGATGATTGCCACAAGATCCATCTGTTCCCCCAATTCATTAATCACCAATAGTCTTTGCACGAACACAACCCATCTTTAAAATGATGGAATCTATTAGCATCCCTCAATATTATCTCCCTCCCCATAACTTTTGCAATTAATTTAATAGCAGAATGGCAATCCCCACAAACCCGAAGATTTTTCATGACTCGGATGGGCATCCCTTCAGGCACCTTCAAAAGTCCATATGCCACAGCCAGTTTTTCACTATGATACCGCAAGCTATGCACTTTTTCTTCATCTTCCACATCATGCAGCACAAAACTACCGTCAGGACAATACCCGGCTTCTCTCAATAATCCTCCTAACTTTTCCAACATCTTCATGATCATTGCATGCTCTGGGTGGCTTACGCAGTCTGCACCAGTGAACATATGTACTTTCTTCTCTACCTCAATCCAACTACATCCAGGTGACTTGGTCACACTCCTTGCTCTCATGGTTTTTCTCAGATCTGCAACATCACGCCATCTACCTTGAGATGCATAAATGTTTGAAAGCAAGATGTAAGGCCCAGAATTTTTGGGCTCAAGCTGCAAAAGTTTCTTTGCTGCAACTTCAGCCAAATCTAACTTCATGTGGGTTCTGCAAGCACCTAACAACGAACCCCAAATAATAGCATCTGGTTCCAATGGCATTTTCTCAATTATCTTCATTGCTTCATGGACTTGACCAGCTCGGCCTAGCAAATCAACCATGCAGGCATAATGTGCAGTTTTTGGTTTCACTAGATTTGACTCCATTGAATCAAAAATTTTAAGCCCTTCTTTAACCTTCCCAGTGTAACTACAAGCTGAGAGAACTGCGACAAAGGTAACATCATCTGGCATGACACCAGAGGAGAACATTTCATGAAAAGCTTGTAAAACTTCTTCGCCTAAACCATGTTGGGCATAACCACTTATAATAGAATTCCACATAACAGTATCCTTTGTACCGAACCTGTCAAAAATCTGTTTTGCTTTTACAAGATCACCGCATTTGAAATACATTGTGATCAAAACTGAGGCAACATACACATCAAAATCGTACTGGGATCTCACCAACTTGGCATGAACCTGCCTACCATGGTCAAGACTTGCCAAGCTGGCACAAACTAAAAGAACACTCATCATGCAAGGGAAATTCACTCTAATTCCTTCTCTTTGCATCAAAGTAAACACCTGAAACACTTCCAATTCAAACCCCCTCTTCTCATAAACCTTGATCATCGCACTCCAAGTTGCATCATCCTTCTCCCTCATTCGATCAAACACCATCCTTGCTTTCCTCACTTCTCCATTCCGCCCTAACCCAAGAATCATTGCATTACTAGCAACAATTGACTTCATCGGCATTGTGCCAAAAAGTTCCCAAGCATCTTGTATCCTTCCACATTGTATATAACCCATCAACATAGCTGTCCACGATACTTCATTTTTCTCTGGCATCACTTCAAAAAGTTTCCTCGCAATATCAACTTTATTATTCTGCACGTACCCACTAATCATTGTTGTCCAGGAAATCACATTCTTTTTCGGCATCTCATCGAAAATCCCTCTCGCTTCATCTACACGTCCCTCTCGACAGTACCCTAATATTATATTCGTCCTACCAACAACATCCTTCACCGGCATCATATCATAAAATCGCCTCGCCTCATCAATGCGAGAATTTCGAATCAACCCACCTAACATCACAGTCCAAGATACCACATTCTTCTCAGGCATTTGCCAAAACAATTTTTCAGCCTCAACAATCATGCCCTCTTGAGCATAACCCCGAACCATGGCCGTCCACGAAACAACATTTCTCTCCGGCATTTTATCAAACACTCTCCTAGCTTCACTAACCATCCCATTTTTCACATACCCAGAAACTAAATTATTCCAAGAAATTATATTTTTTTCAGGCATGATATCAAACATATCCCTAGCTTTAATGGGTTGCTGGTTTTGGAAGTAACCGGCAATAATTGAGTTCCAAGAAACGGTAGTTTTATTAGGCAATTCATCGAACACCATACGTGCTTTCTCAATTTGGCCCGAACGAGCAAACTGAGAAATTTGAGAATTAGCAGAATTTACAATGCTAGTACAGTAAATTCTACGCGGGTTTAGCAAAAACTGCATTGATGATTACGAATTTCAAGAGTAGTAAAGTTTCAATTTTTGAAGGGATAAACGAGGCTGGGCTTTAGGTATTCTTGATGGTCATATAAGGTTATTCTCGGAGGGAACGAGAGTTAATCTGAGCGGGGAAGAAAACTAAACGAGGATTTGTAGTGATCATCTGATCTGACGGATAATATTATGTCATGATAGACTATTTAAAATCCAACGGCTATCATATGATAACATGCTAGTCCCTATTATTATTACGTGTCAAATAATCTATAACTTTATTTATTCGTATAAAAAGAATGTTTTTTTTTTTTTAAATCCAGAAATTTCGGACTTCATATTGTGACTTCGAGTTCAATTTTATGAAAGAGACCATCGTTTACTATTCCAAGAAAAAGTCTTTGTATTAATTAATTTAAAGGGCAATGTTCTTTTGTGTCTTTTAACCAGTTTGCCTAAAGAAATTAGATTAATTAATTTACGTGATATATAAAACTATATGATAAAATAATAAATTAAATTAAAGCCCAAAGAATCCAATGAGTCCATCCAGTAGGACCAGGTCTCATTTTGTATTTCGTTTTTAGTCAAAATTTAAAGATTATCTAATTTTATCATATGAGTCCATTTATGAGAATATGTTTACATTAACGTACGAAAGTATATATATTTCGTAATTCAGAGATTATTTATAAACTCATAGTTTATGTTCTAATGGCTTATTGACGATGGTATATTTTTGCTAATTTTGAAATCTAAGAGAGATTTTTTCTTTTAGGTCAAACTTTGGGTAGGTTGATTTTTTTAACTTCAATATATCATAAGCTTATCTTATTGTACAAATGACAATGGATACTTATATTTAAATTTTGGAAGGGTAAAATTCAAGAAGGTGGTAGAAGCTACGGTGGTGGTGGCGGCGGCCCCACTGGAGGCAGGGGGGTGGCCGGTGGGTTTAGATGAAGGTGATAAAAATAGACATCAAGAGGATGTGACGAGGTCAGAAATGTCATGCTATTGGGATCATTGCAATTATAGAAGTCAGGCAGGCTTTAATAAAATACACTTATACATAAATCACCATACTGTGAACAACGTTACAACACAATCGAAAGGGAAACAACTACATATAAAACACTTCATGGCTTGCGCCAAAAGCTACCGTCTTTGCCCCCATTTGGCTGGGTTTATCTACTGGCCGAGAATGATTAAACCTGCCAGAAGTTCATTAGGCCGAGCTTATCTACTGACAGAAGAAACCAAAAGTGGTACTTGGTGTAGAGTAAGCCATGGAAAGCACTTTTGAAGCTACAATTTGGTTAGCTCCTTCTGTGTAATGAATTCCATCCCAGCTGACAGATTTTGACCCTTCATCACAAGCCTTAGAACCAGGATTGCCACATGTCACATTTATGTTGTAGTTGTATGGGGGTCCTCCAAAGCCACAACATGCCATTAATGGACTTGAAAAACCTGCATAAATGATCTCAAATGAATCAAATTAAGAGTCTTGAGAAGGAGACTTTTGGTGAGCTTGATAATTTTCACTAAGGTCACATATAATTTAGTAAGTTTCATCAAATACGGAAATATCATGATACAATGAAGAGGAAAATATGTATGCGTGAGATAGTGAAATCCGCCATTGACGGTTAGGTAAAACGATAAGAAGGAAGCTTTTGAGAGGCATGTTAAAGATAATGATTGTTCTCCTAATAGTATGTTTATAGAAAGGTTTTATAAATCATGATCCGAGATAAATTTGGGTCATATATAGTCAATGCCTTGACCCCTACAAAAAAATCTCATGATACAACAAAGAAGAAAATATGCATGCATGAGACAATGAAACTGAACGAAATAACGAAATCCACCACAACAATTGAGTAAAACGGTATTCAGAAAGCCCTCGAGGGTCAACATGTTCAAGATAACAATTGTTTCCTAATAGTCTTTCCCCACAAATTAATGATTCGAGATAATTTGATCATCAGGATAAACGAGGGTTAAGGCAATTTGGCTTACCATATTTGGTGGAGTTGGCAATGAGATCATACTTGATGGAAAATATATCTACATAGACTATAGTAGCGCCGTTCAATTCAGCCCTCATCTCCTGGCAAAGATGGCGTAATCCTTCATTGAATAGTCTCGCCGCATCATTGTAACTTGAAATACATCCATAACGATCTAAAGCATTGTTCTTAACTAATGAAAGTTTCTGAGGGAGACAACCTAATGGTCCTGTGTTGTGTATCCAAAATTTCCTCCCTCCTTGATCATACAATTTCTGCAAATGCATATGACAAAACAGATTAATATTTAATAAGCCAAAAAGTCTTAACATTTACGGAATATTAGAATGTAAGCTATATAATCTTGGAAAATTGAATCATAGAAACTTAAATACACTTTTTTGTGTATGAAAAAACGAAACACAAGGAATTTTATGAAGCCGTACGTGTTCAGTTGACCTGTTTTCAGAAACAGTTTTTGAATTCGTCAGTGTAAAATCAGAAAACAAAAAAAGAAAAAAAGAAAAAGTCATTTTCTTGAATTTTCAATAGTTTTCAACTTTAAAAATAGTTTTCAAATATTATATCGAACACGTTTTTAAATATTAAAAACATTGAAATAGATCTCATTGTTTTATTTATGAGTAATACTAATCTTACAAAAAGGCATAGAAAGAGACAAATCTAGCCCTTAAAATTCATGATTGCCCCTCTCTCTCTCTCTTTTTCCCTTCTTTTACGGGCTGGATTTGTCTCTTTGTAAGATTAGTATTACTCTTTATTTATATCTAGTTTTTGAAACTTATTTTTCAAATCACAAGCTAAATGGATATAACTTCTAACAAAAATTTTGGCATTATGCAAGTATATGCAAAGAAAGTCTTTGGTACATCCTTCCAATCACTCTGCGCTTGCATGGCAAGCGTGTTAAAGTGATGTATCTAGGTTGTATACTCATCTCACTGTAGAATTTTCAGTTTAATTTGTTATAAAAGTATGAAAATTAAACTCACCGTGACACCAATCTTAATTTCTCTGAGAACCAATGGAATTCTTTTGACAACTTGTGCATAAGTAAATTTTTTGGAGAATGAATCAGCAATGTCATTTTGTCCAATATCAATGAAGTAAAGTGCATTTCTGAACCCATCTTCGTTGATGAAATCAGTTGAACCTAAAAACAAGTTCAACAGTTTAATTAATAATAATCTCAAAGTGAGAGAATTCCATTAAAAATATTTGGATAAGATTTGATGGTAATCATAATATGATTGTGGTTCCTACCTATTCGATTTATGATTAAAAACAATTTATAAAAACTATGATAGTGTTTGATGTAATGCCGAAAACTGTTTTTCAAGTTTTGAAACTACAACCAATTGAGAAAACGAAGAGAAAACGATTGTTTTTCGTTTTCCGAAAACTGGTTTTAAAAACATTTCAACTAAACACCTTTTCAGATAATTCCTCATATTTCTTGTTTCCTAAGTTGAAACTACTGCATTGTTTTGGTCTTCGAAAATAAAAGATATAAGAAATTTTGATGACAATGCATTTGTTTGCAATGAGTTAAAAATATTTTCAAATACAATCTTTAAAACTACTATAAAATCACAAAAAAAGGGGAAAAAAAATATCAAAATATTTTTTTTTTATGACCACGGATATCCGGGTCAGCTTACATTCACCTTAACTAATCTTCTAGGACCCTAAAACTATTGACCGAGTAAGAGTTCCAATGACCACCCTTATTAAGAACCGAGATGAATCGAACTCAAGACCTTTTGAATAACACACTCAAGAGTCCTAATTAACTACTAGGCCACCTAGTGGTGGTTATCGACATATTTCTCCAATAACATCATCAAAATTATTAGATAAAAAATTAATCAACAAAAAAAAGACTAATATATTCATGCAAAGTAATAAAATGAGAAATTTACCAGCAGTAACAAGCTGAAGAGTCCTGTCCTTGAAATGAAGAAATTGCATAATTTGAATGGTCAGTGAAAATGGAACATTTTTGGGGAGAGTTGATGATCCCGCGATTGCAAAATTCGCTCCATTTTTGAACTTTGAATCCGCCAATGAGTCCAAGTATGGACTTAGGTAACTCGTATTCACAGTTTGGCCTGCAAGTTAAAAAAAAAAAAAAAAAAAATCTGAATAAATATATAACATATTATCATGTCAGAATCTCTTTTGGATTTTACTAAGAAATCTTATGAAATGCATAAATAATTAAGAAAAAATAGACAATCAAACTGATTTTTCGATTAAATAAAAACCCAAAGGGGTGAATAAGAAAATTATAATTAATTAATTAATCTAAAACATAACTCATTAATTATAATTTTATATTTTACATGTTCTATTCAAATAGAGATTCGATCAAATATTATACCAGAACTCAATAATGATATACCGACCAAGACATTAATGAAAACGAGGACCCACTTTCGATTAAAATTTAAATCTGAGTGCACACATAACGATGACTAATTACACTCATGTCCATACATTAAATAGACCCCACCAAGGAATCACGTGTCCCCACACAAATCCGAGACCATAACGCTATCCGTTAAAACACCCAAATCTCACGGTACCTCAGGTCCTCACCGTCACGGTACTGTAGTCTACAGTACCACAATCACCTCTACGTGGCAGATGCTACAGCACCGTATGTAAATTATGGGACCAACATAAGGTTTTATAGGACCAACTAAATCCGATTCGATAACGTTGGAGACTAATTTTATAATAGTCTTTTAGTTTTATCATTTACTGTAGTAAACATAGTTCAATAACGTTATTCAACTAACTTTTTACCATTTTTTGTATGTCTTGTTGTTTATTGTAACTAGCCCGGTTACTGTAAGGACGAATCTCTTACTCCATCGTTGCAGGCAAAAATATTTGAAAAAAAAATTACCAATTAATTTTTCTAACGGTCATTGTATTTTCCACTGTAACTGACCCGGTAACGTTGCGATTAATTCGATAAAAGTTACACCAATCATAGCAAGCAGAGAAAAAGAAAATGAGAGGGAGTGGGGCCAACTTACAAAGGAAGTCGATCAGGAGCCGTCCATCAGAGAATCGACCAGTTGATCTGCCGAAAAACGTACGGCCATAGGGGGAATTGACGGGGAAACCGAGTCCAGCTACGAGTCCACCCGTGTCGGAGTTCGAATCGCCGAAGCTGAAGATGACTGGCGGCTTCTTACACTGAGTAATGGCGGCCGCCCCGACGGGATAAACATTATGCACAAAACAAATAAAGAAGAAATAGAAGAAAATTAAAAAGGAGTAGAAGGCCATTGTTAATGAAAAGGAAGAAGAAGAGATTTGTGGGTATTTTTTTTTTTTTTTTTGGGTGAGTGTTTGAGTGGAGAAAAAAGAGTGAAATTAAAAAGAAAATGTGATGATGAATGATGGTGAAGAAGTAATAAAGGTGGCATTGATCACGTGGCATTATGATTATTTTAGGGGTTTGTCGATCCCTGAGATTTAATAATATAACAAAGTTCCCCTAAACTTTAAAAAATAAGAAGCTTGTTTGTTTTAATTTTTTTGCCCAATTTTATTCCTATCTTATCCAAAATAAATATTTGTTTTCTATTTTTGAAATTCAATCATACTATATTCAACTATTTTTAAACCCTCATAAATTTATTAATTTAACTAAACACCCTCAACAAAAAAAATTTATAAATTAACAAAAATACGCCAGATTCCGACTACCTTGTGACGGTGGTGGCCGAAATCTGACAAATGTGAGTGGCTGAGAATGTTTTTATCAATTTATAAACTTTTTATTGTATGTTTGCTAAATTAACAAACCTAAAGGGTATTTTGGTTAATTTTTAAATCTTATCTCGTAATAACAATCCAACTTCACTTTTCCAAAAATACTACTCCAAATAATAAAACAAACATAGCCAAAAAAAATTCCTAATTTTTAGTTTATTTTAATATCCTTTTATATGAAAACAAAAAAGAATAAAAATAAATAAAAAGGAAGCTATGTATTCAGATCTAATAGATCCAATGGCGTTGATTAAATATTATCTTCGGAGATTCTATTTAAAAAATAATTAAAAAGCTTGATTTAGTAAATTTATTTTAAAATTTGAAAATACATTGATTATTATTATTTTTAAATAACATTTACAAATTAAAAGAGAAAACGTGTTTTTTTTTTATTTGGTTTGATTTTTATTTTTGTTTTTGTGAATACTTTTAAGAGTGTTAGTACAAGCAATAGTGAAAATCATTAACTACCTTTTCAAAAAATTTCTAAAAACGTGAAAGAGGAAATTAATTGAAAATCTCAAAATTATCCTCTAAATATAGCAATTTTATTCTCTAAATTTAATTTTCCCCACCCCCATCTATTCGTTAAACTCACACTTTGACCCTTCCAATGCAATTCCCTAATTACATTTTTTTATTTCTCTTCCGACTCCTCGTAAGTGAAATATTAATTCTCGCCTCTAAATGTAACATTCTGGCTCCGCCACCACCTTTACACCCTAGTAATATTACTTGATAGTTAGCAACCGTTGTATCATAGTTTAGGAGTATCAATTTATAACGAATTTGTAATTGTTAATTAATAATTTTTCGTTATTCTTGTTTTTTGTATTTTGTTTTTATCTATATTAATGATCTAATTATAAGATTTCTTTTAATGTTCAAATAAAGAGCCAACAACTAATTGCTAGCTTGTTTAGCCAACCACCGCTCATTGACCCTTGGTTTACACATTAAATCTACACCTTATAAATGAATATTTATATAGAAATTTTCTATTTAGAAAATTTATATAAAATGTCAAGGCCCCACGATGGGCACCAAACTGGAGATGCTAAAAATCGACAATTACGAAAAGGATGGATCCTGTGAGGTTGAGGCTACTGATAATCCGCTGGATTTGCATACACAAAGAAACAAGCGTGAGGCTTCTGGGAAATACCGGGGTGGTGTTTGCCGTAGGCACTCCGACGCTCAAGTCGGCAAGGCTGAAATGGGCTATTTAGTGAGGGTGAAGGGAAAAAAAGGTTACCGAAAGTTTGATCGGAGACTAGAGCTATGACGAATGTGTTTAGTCCATAGAAGCAAGAACTTTTAGGAACTAGAGTATTGGATCTTCCCTCTTTTATGAGAGGACATGCCTCTGTTTATATAGTGAACCCAAGGCCTTGGAATCCCAGTAAGACTCTGAGTCATACTTTGGGAGATAGTCCTTATCAAGAAAGAAATTGAGTTTCTTGCCCTTACCAGATTAAGCTTGCCACTGTCAAAATAAGTCTAAAATGCTGTATAAATGGCCGAATGATTGGCCTTGTGATTTTTCTCTATTATGTAATCTGTACAAAAGAATTCTATACGTGGAAATACCTACATATCTGATAATCTTATCTCTATACAATCTGTCAATAATTAAGCTAATTATTCAGAAGAGTAAATCAAGGAAATAAACAGAAATAAATATGGACAGTAAAGATGTCTGTTGACAGAAATAAATATGGACAGCAAGCTGTCCATTAACAGCCCCCCTCAAATTGATGCAGGTTGATCAACAAGCATCAATTTGCTACTTAGGAAGCAATGTCGATGACGAGTGAGAGCCTTGGTGAAGATATCAACAATTTGTAGTTCAGTGGAAATGTGTGGAAGAGTGATAACATGAGCTTCAAAGGCTTCACGAATAGAATGACAGTTGACTTCAATATGCTTTGTGCGCTCATGATAGACAGGATTGGTCGTGATCTGAATAGCACTTGTATTATCGACATGTAAAGGTGTAGGATCGGTCTCAGAGAAGTCTAACTCACCAAGAAAACCTCGAAGCCAAATAATTTCGGAACAAGCAAGAGACATTGCTTGGTACTCAGATTCTGTAGATGACTTAGAAACTCTATCTTGCTTCTTACTTTTCCAAGAGATCAATGCATCACCTAATAACATGCACCAACTAGTGATGGAATGACGTATATCAACACAATCAGCCCAATCAGCATCGCTATAAGCAACAAGACGAGGAGAATTGCCTGTAGGAAAGAATAAGCCACGGGCAGAAGTGCCCTAAACATAGCGTATGATCCTACGGACAGCAGCCAAATGAAGATGATGAGGAGTCTGAAGAAACTGGCTAACTTGCTGTACAGCAAAAGAAATATCTGGTCTAGTGATGGTGAGATAGACCCGGCTACCCACTAATTTCCGATATAAACTGGGATCAACAAGTAAGTCACCCTCCTCTTTGCGAAGCTTGACATTTAATTCCATGGGAGAATCGACAGGGGTAGCTTCCTGCAGTCCAACTGTAGCCACCAAATCACTAACATACTTATGTTGATTGAGTGAAATCCCAGAGGGACTACGATGCACCTCAAGACCAAGAAAATACGTGATAGACCCAAGATCTTTCATATGAAAGGATTTTGAGAGATGGGTCTTGAGTTGGACAAGTAAAGCAGAATCAGAACTAGTGATCACAATATCATCAGCATAAACCAAAAGGACAACAATACCCATGTCTGATTTTCGAAGAAACAACGAAGTGTCATACTTGCTCTGCTTGAAGGAAAATTGTAATAAAGTGGTTTGAAATTTATCAAACCAAGCCCGCGGAGCTTGTTTGAGACCATAAAGAGAGAGACGAAGTTTACACACATTGGAGGTCGGAGAAGGAAACAGTCCTGGGGGTGGCTTCATATAAATACACTCTTTAAGATCCCCGTGAAGGAAAACATTCTTAACATCCATCTGATGTAGTGGCCAATCATTGGAAGCAGTAAGAGCTAGGATCGTACAAACAATGGTCATCTTAGCCATAGGAGCAAAGGTCTCCTCATAATTGACACCATATTCCTTATTGTTCCCAAGGACAACAAGTCGAGCTTTATAACGATCCAAACTTCCATCAGAGCGAACCTTGACTGAGTAAAGCCATTTGCAACCCAGAGGAACTATAGTGGAAGGACAAGGCTCAATGTCCCAGGTGTGATTGGTCTCTAGAGCGGCAATTTCTTCCTGCATAACTTGTCGCTAATAGTCATGCTTGACAGCATGTGAGTAGCATGTGGGAATATCAAAATTGGACAATGCAGCAATAAGAGCTGAAATAGAATTGCCAGAAGAAAACCCATACCTATCTGGGGGTACAGACACTCGAGAAGAGCGATGTACCAAAGGCTATAGAGGTGCTGTAACTGACTGATTCTGGTGTATGTTAGGATCAGATAGCAGGTGAGCCATCAGAAAAGACCGTGGGTGGGATCGTCTCGTGTACATCATACCTGGTTTAAAACGAGAACTGACTTGATGAAGATCTGAGAACTGCTGCTCAAAGGAGGGGAGGATCACAGTAGAAGAAGAGGGCACATATGACACATGAAAGAAATGTTGATTTTCAAAGAAAATAACATTCCTAAAAATGCGTGTATGATGTAATGTAGGATCATAGCAAACAAATCCCTTTTGACACACATTATATCCTAAGAATGCACATCTAACAGATTGAGCAGATAATTTATGTCACTCATGAGGAGGTAAATGAACAAAACATACACAACCAAAAATACGAAGATTATCATAACTAGGTTGCTTAGCAAACAAGCGGAAATAGGGAGACTCCATGTGTAAAACTTGGGAAGGTAAACAATTAATCAAATGAGTAGCAGTCTTTAGAGCCTCAACCCAGAACATGGATGGAACAGAAGATTCTAACAAGAGAGTACGTACCATATCAAGAAGATGACGATTTTTGCGTTTGGCTACTCCATTTTGTTGAGGAGTAGCAGAACATGAACGTTGATGGATAATACCTTTAGAAGCCAAGAATGCCTAAAACTCAGTAGACAAATATTCACCACCAGAATCTGTGCGTATCGTTTTAATATTCGCAGAAAATTGATTTTCAACATATGCTAAAAACTCAGTGAAAGTACGAAAAACATCAGATTTAGAGCGAAGAAAATAAACCCAAGTAAATCTGCTATGATCATCAATGAAAGTCACATAGTATTTAAATTTTTCATGTGAACTAACCGGGGAAGGTCCCTAAACATCACTATGGATAAGATCAAAATAGTGAGAAGCTCTACTAGCATGCAAAGGAAATGGAAGAGTTTTGCTTTTACCAAGTTTACAAGAATCACATTCAAGAGATAAAGAAGAACGTTCTTTATTACCAAGAAAGCCAGAGTTCAATATATGAGATAAGATCTGAGTATTGGGATGGCCTAAACGTCGATGCCACACCATGCTCAGATTAGGAACATTATTACAAGCAAAAGACTTAATAGAAGAAACTGGAGAAAGTGTTGGAACAGGTTAAAATAGTGGAAACAAGCGCCCCACTTTAGGTCCC